AAAGTAAAGATTCTAAAAAAATAGTTGGAGCTATAATATAATAAGCAGATTTATAAATATAACATTTAATATATCGCTGATTTATTTTACTTTTGGCTATCAAAAACTGAAATTATTTTTTATTTCTGAAAATATGCATTTCTGAAAATATGCATTCAAAATATCTTATTGCAGCATGACAGCAATGTTTTTGCGGAAGTACTATATTTTTTATATAATATTACCATTTGTCATTTTGCAGCAATTTTGAATGTATCAACGTTCCCCATGTATCAACCAGTCCCGGTCTCCACAATGTATATGCGAAAGATACAATGTATGCAAAAAATTTATTGAAATCTGTCAAAGTCAATTTTTTTTAATTCGAAATTTGGAACTTATATGTTACATGTTAAATGAGAAAATGTAATCGCATGTATAAATGTAAAAATATTACTTTACCTACAAGTGACACCGTGTAACATTTCGCTATATAATCATATTTTTCTATAATAGCGATTTCGTTTTTATCTTTTAATTCGTCACATACATGCTGAAGGCTTATGAAGAACTTCTTTACCTGTTATTTCAGTAACTTTATATGCCACCTTTGTATGTAGTAATATTGTGAAATATTCTTTAATTTAAAAATTTAAGGGATAATATCCCGTAAGCTATATATGTCAAGCTACTTACAGATTCGATGTTAATGCCAAATGCACAGTATTTTAGCGTGAAAATAGCAAACATAGATGCGGAAGCCAACACCGCAATAGAATTCGAAATGTATTTTGTTGTCATAAATGTTGTTAACTATAATTATGTACTTATAAATTGTAACATAATCATAAATTGAATACTATTATAATTATACTAGACTATAAATATATGTAAATACAGACTATAAATATATGTAAATTATTTGTTGGTAAAAGATTGTTATAAATTATGCAACAATTCTATGCCCCTTACCTGAAATATAATGCTCGTCATCAAAATAGTAGAAACGAAAATGAATTGAAATCGAGTGAATTTGGATTGTTGATATGGCCACAAGCCAATAGCGAGCAGTAAAATTTTATTGAAACGTAAATACTGAGTCTCTATGCAGATCATCACTTGGCTAAGTCCGCGACAAGAATGATTGTGAAGAAATAGACGAGGGTGCTCTTACCCCCTCTTCTCTCTGATCGAATAAATATATTCTATAACTTTCCTTTTCCGGCGTAAATTTTAGCGCATTATGTAATTTTGTTTAACGCAGGACGTGTGCAATTACCGTAAATTACCGTGGAATCAATATATACATAATACTTGCAATTTGACAAATTTCTCAATAGGAGGTATATCTTTATATACAAATAGACTATAGACTTGATGTGAAGAGAAATTTAACAGATATTTTTTTCTCTCACAAAAAGTGAAGCTCTTGTAAAAAAAAATTCTTAAGAAAGAATGGCGCAGTTGCATTCGTTTATATTTGTTAATAGTGCGATTTTACATATTCTCGCAAGTGCATAGCTACATTACGTTTGACTTTTAAGAGAGAAATGTTGCTTATCCAATCTTAAATACTATCATTATTAATGTTAACATTGCAATTATAGTGTTTATTTTATTATTTTATTTATGTGATAAGTGTTTATTTTATTATCATCTGCACGTATTTTATTTTTAAAAAACCGACACCCATGTATCTTAATCTTCGTGTTCGATATGTGTCAAGTTTGATTATATTAACTCTTTGGTTCCAAATACGTGCATATGCATACATTCATCATGAATGGAGATATTTACGTAAGAACGTTTTCAGAATAATCGATTGAGGTTTTCTCGTAATCAATTTATGGCATACTATTGTACTGTTTTGATTATCATGAAAGAAACAACATATAATCTTCATAAAATATGATAATTACAGCATATTCTTATGATATTAATAACTTCAAGCAAGCCGCAATTGAACAGTTAAGTTCCTCTTTTCGCGATTTGCATGACTCGTGATTCCCTAGTAGAAAAGGTGTGCTTAGATCATCCTGTCCCGTTGAGACCGGCGCGACGCAAACAGGTGTCCTGGCGACAGGAGGGCGGTTCTATCAGGATCGCATCCCTCGCGAGCAGCTTTTCATACGGGGTGTAGGCGCGTAAGCGACCTGTCTGCCTCCATGCATCCTTGATCCGGAAATATGCTTCGCGTTTGAGGCAATTACGGGCATTAGCGTGGGTGCCGCTGCGGCTTTAATTTGACTCGCAACCGTCTCGCTTCGGCGCTTTTGAACTTCCCCAATATGATTACGCGCGCGACGCTCCCTTTATTTCGATAATAATTTTCTTCCTCGTTATTGTATGCAACGGTAACATCTGAGTGTGCACTTAATATTCAAAATAAAAGAGATGTTGTATGATAAATTATATAATCTTTATTAATTCTAAAATAAACATAATTGAAATACAATAATCTTATTTTACGTAATATTCCGATAAATAATTATAATGTAGCTTTTAATATTTAGGTTTGTATTAATATTTGATTTTGAATGTAATTATAAAGAAATTTCGATTTTTGATTATTTAAAGAGTAACCTGTAATATAACTAAATTGTAATATTATTAAATTTATCATATCTTAGTTTTAAAATTTAAGTAAATATTAAACAAAGCTTTGTTTTGAAAAAAAATTATATGAATATTTATTATAAATATAGAAGTTTAATGTATATAAATAAATTATTCAGATAAAATTATAACATATACTTCAGATGTGGTAAAGGGATGAATGATAGCTTTTGACTTTTGCTTTATAGAGATGATAGCCGTGACTCGAACTTTGCCTGACAATGAGAAAGCTGACGCACCGTCTACGTCATCTCTATATGCCAGGGAAAGATTAAACAATGTATAGCATTTTAAAACGTTATTAAATTTTTAATATTAAATTAGTAACACGAATACATTATAGCAGACTATCTGCTCTGTTTATAAAATAAATGCTACTTTTAATCATTTCTATTCGAATTGAATAATGACACACTATTTCATAAATTGAATTTTTTTAATTTCTGGGCATTCTTTTATTCAAGAATATATATTTAATATTCTCTGATTTTGTACAGTTAAAAAATAAATCAAATTTTGGTATGGATTATTATTTTATTTTAATATGTTATCTTTTTAATTAAATGATTAATGATGTGAAAGTATTCGATTCTTTAACTTAAATTTCTATTTTATTGAAAGAAATTTCAACGTCCTCCGCTCCTGTTGTTGATAAGTGCCGAAGACCAGATCGTGTTACATCATCGCTCCCATTGTTACACAGTGTTACATCGTCATAACCATCGCCATGATCGTTTATACGCGATATTACGCGTCGTGACGTCGCGAAGATTGGATGCTTCGTGTGCCAGGATAGCAGGATTTTCCAGGAGCGCGTCCGATTACCTTTATCATAAAGGGAGATACATATTATTCACATAATATCAATCTTTAATGAGTACAGAGAAAACTTGCCGATCTTCAATTCAGATCGACACGTTCGTCTTGAGGCGGAATAATTAAAATGTAGTTTAGTATGCAGTAAATAAAAGGTATGGAATATTTAATTTTAAATGAGGTTTCAGTGAAAAATTTTAAATGAGAGATTTCAGTGGTCGAAAAACGAAACATTTTTAAGTTTTATTACAGTGAAAATATAGAGGGGGAAGAAAATTGCTAAAAATTATCGTAATGACCGAAGAACTGAGTGCTTTACACGTTATAAACTGAAGTGTTATTTGTTGTTCATATTTGCACACAGGAATGACTTAGAGAATCGTTAAATGAAAGAATATTTAGGCTCCGGCGCGCGGATGTCATCGAAGATGCTCGGGTCAGGTTCGTCGTCGGGATCGAATTCTATGTCCATTGGATCAATCGTGGAAGGTGGGTAGGGAATCCTAGGCTTCGCGGATGGTGCTGGTCGTATCAGACAGGCTTCCAGTCTTTCCCTCACGCACTTTCTTTCACCCGTCGCGTCTATTACGGACGCAGTTTCCCCCGCGTATAGCATTATGGCACTTATATTTTCTTCGTATTCCCGAAGCTACATTTAGCAAAATTATTATTTCAATTTTATATCTAAAAAAGCATAAAACATTTTTTTTTTAACATAATTCTTCAAAGAGGCACATATAATATGTGTGTACGTGTGTGTAAAATAAAAAGTAATTATAATAAATCGAACGAGCCAATTATATCTAGCCATTACATATAATTTATATATCAAAAAATAAGTGAGATTAAAAAGTATGATTTAACCGTTAGAAAGGTTTCTAATTTATAAAATATGTTTCTTCAACTATATGAATCGTGAGTGAGAATATTTTAAAAGATACGGTAGTTACATCTTGTTCGACGATGTCTTTATAATCATTGGAATGATTATCATCTAATTTACAATCTGGTTTCATCATCAAAAATTCCCACGATGAGACATCGTTCTCGCTTCCAGCAATAAAGTTGCATTCACGATTTAAGAGTCTTTCTCTGCACGTTTGTATGTCTATTTTGAGGATGATTACTCTGAACATAATTTCGGAAACTGTAATTATTATCGGATTTCTGAAATAGGGGTTTCTTATAAAATTTACCTATTGGGTGGCATAGATATCATATCCAGGAGCTTGAACTCCTCCACAGTTTTAGGATAACCCGTCAAGATCCAGCCTCTCTTAAGGCAGTCAGATCCGAGTATATAACGCTGGAAATAATGATGATGCAAATGATGATGCCAAATTAAATGAATATCTCTCAACGAATTATATAATCGCACCTCGATAATTTGTACTCGTGCTTCTGATTTTATTTTCGGTTCGCATTTGTGCTCGCATAATCGTAACATTTCACCTAAGGCCGTCTCTCCCAAACATGCTTGCTCCAAGATGTTGTTAAAGTTAACTGAAAAGTATATACTATATTTCTGTTCGAAATATTGTTATTGGAGTAACAAATCTGTCTCTACTAACAATTATTATATTGACAAAGAGAATATAACAAGATATAAATAAATATCTTTATATATTACCATAAACGAGATTAAATTTCTCAGATATATGTTTTGCTAAAGAACGATGACCTGATCCTGGAGGACTTATGAGAGCGATGCGAAAGAGTGATGGAGCGCCATAATGTTTTCTAATTTTCATTAATGTCGCGCAATTTTTGCCCAGGTCGTGAATCGTCGTTTTAATACTAGCTTCAACTTCCTAAAGAGAAATTTTTTAACGATCTCGAAACAAAGTTAATGATGTTTAACATAGAATCGATCAATGAATAGTTTATGAAGTAATTGCAAAACAAAAATTTATTTTGCTAAAATATTATATGTAATATTAACATATTAATAATATTTATATGAATTCAATAATATTATTATATATACTCAAAGATTGACTAACAATTAAAAGATTAGCATAAGCTTCACGTAAGCCTCGAAGAGTTCTCCTATAATCGCACTGTCTTGCATCTTCTGGAAATAAACGTGATTTACAAAAAATAAATTAGATGCAATAAAAACTCTATATCAGCGACATATTAAAGATTAATAATTGATACTTTTAATTTCTGCGAATAAAAATACATTCCTCTGATTTAATGGAGCTTTAAATATCTTTATATATATTTTATAAATATGTTAATATATAAAATGTGAAAAAATATTGACAACGACATTAATCTAAGGAATGTTTCTGATTGATATTTACAGAATGAACGTGTTTTGCAAATATGGAGATGAATCTGAGTGGATTTGAAAGGAAAGGCTAAATTAACATTGTCCGCCTAGTAAGTATACTTTTTTCTTGGATCTTGCCTTTTGAACTCGATGGTATAATCTGTATTACATGTGTTGGTATTATGCCGACACGTTGCATTGCGCGTGCTTCCTGTTTGTTCCTCGGTATATCTATGCAGATTATTTATTTACACAAAAATGAAAAATAAAGTAAGAGATTTAGTTATTTTTTCTCATTATAATACCGTTTATAATATTATTAATTGTATTACATCCCGTTATGTAATGACGTTGCAATTTTACGAAATAATCCACTTTATTCGACGAAATAATCAGAAAACAATTTACATAAGCAAAATTACCGACTAACACCCATCCAGATTCATGAAGTACTCCCGACATTAACATTTTCTTCATTCTTTCTGCGATCTCATTAGCATCATAGCAATGGCACATGTTCTAAAATATATACATATTATAACGAACGTTTATACAATTAAAAGAGAGGAATGTGATTCTCTGTTCTTTCTCGGACGCATCTAATTATGAGAAATAGATTATTTGATAGGTATATGGCATACTTCAACAGGAGCTAAAGCACAAAGATCTTCTAGTGTAACAGGACAAATACCAGTTTCCTCCTGAAGAATTTTTGCAAGAGTTATTTTATCTACGCCAATAGAGAGAAAAATTACGTTTTATTCACTTTGAAAAAAATAAAAATACGTAAATATAAATACGTATTGGAAATCTTAAAATAAAAATATTGATTTATTGCATTTGATATCAAATACACGAAATAGTTTCTTACATTGTAAGTGTATTAAATATATCTGTGCAATTAATTTATATTAATGTTGACTAACGAAAGCTTACCGAAACTCGGAGGAGCTATAAGGATAACTCTAGGAATATCTCGCTTTCGTACAATGTGCTGAACGCATTGTTTTATGAATACTATTGGATCTTCTGGCTGCTGGATCAGTAATTGAGTCACTAATTCCTATGAATTTTTGTATAATACAATGCAATATATAATTAAAGTGATATATATATATATATATATATATATATATAATAAGATAATTTTAATATGTAATATAAGATAAACACAAAATGCAACATATTGTAATATAACATAATTAAATCATTAAAAACTATTTAAGTAGAGCAAAATGACGCTATTTATAATTACATAAAAGAATTCATATAATCTGTGTTTTTCCATGTAAGGCACAAAATCCGGCGGAATAGTCAATAACTGATGTCTTGTTTCTTCAAAATCGTTCATATTTTACGTTTTTTTATGGTTAATAATATGGTGTTACATACATTTTATAATGAAATTCATTTAAAATGAAATTATGAGCTGTACGACTTTCATTTGTATATATGTTTTCGAGGATTATTCGCTTTTTTTTATTATGTCATAATGTCATATATAGAATATTATATATATGAATTGATCCGACAAAAATTATAATTTTCAGAAAGAGAGATTGAAAATACATAAACAACAGTTTTAAGTATAATTAAATTAAATGTGAGATTATATCGATCGATCAAATGGAAGGCACAGTTTTTATAAAAAACGCAAAATAATGAGAATATAAAATTATCGTGTATTACGATTAAAAATCAGATAATCTGCATTTTGTAACAATATATATGTTATGCATACACCGAGATAATAAAATATAGTCTTTCGAAAATCTATGTATGCGAAATTAAAATTCACTAATGTAGATTTTAATATTTAATATTTAATATTAAATATTTAATATCTCATACTCTCCCTTTATTTTGAATATACATCGTATTGATTAATTCTTTGCACAAATTTGTTGTATTTCGAAGATTCTCTAAAATTTTATTCTATATGTTGCTACCCTACTTCTTTTGCACAATATTCTTGGTATAAAAATAATTCTAATTTTTACAATATCTTCTGCCCTCTGTACAACAAAGATATTTTTTAACGTCAATTATTTTTAGCATTAATTATTTTTTCTGTAATTTTCTTTTTTTTTATCCTATATTTCTATCGTATTATATTAATCTGTTCGTTCTCTGTGTTTTGCAGTATTACTCCGAGAGGGTAGTAGTGCACAGCGAGTGCAAAGAGAAGCCTGCGAATGTCAGCCCGCGCAAACTTGACTTACAGAGGGCAGCACTCAAAATAAGGCGGCATTTGGATAACGGCACGTGCACATAGCTGATAGCACGCTGTTATCATTTCATATTTAGTATCGTGAGAACAATAGAAATCTTCTTCGAGTGTTTTCACGAAATACGTTAAAATCGGCTTTCTTAAAGTGACGTTTGTGTGATCTTAATATCCAAAATGAGTAAGTATATATTTATATTATACTCGTGCTTGGAAATGAAATCGTCATGAATTATTATTTTCCTTTTTTTATTTAATGAAGCTATCCACATCCTGAAATTCTAAATCAAAAGGAAGTCCGAGGAAAAATATATCTTTTACATGTGTAACAAAGTCTTCCTTCTGTTTCCAAATTGCAAAGTAGCATTAGTTGCCATAACCTAACATTCTATGTATACAATAAACAGAGATTGATATATGTTTATATGTTTATAGGCAGAAAAAGAGGATCTCAGATCACTCGCAGCATGAGAGAGAGTAGCGAGGATCTTTTTTTATCCCAAGATACTCCTGGCCCGAGCAGCCAGGCCAGCGTATCGACGCAACGACGCACGAGAAATTCGACTCCCATGGGATCACAGATCATGAGCTCGCAGAATATGGTCGATATGGAGACACAAAAGGAAACGCAACTAATCAGCAGTGTAATAAGATATCTTTTCGTGGCGGGTCGCAACAAGCAACCTGTACAAAAGAATCAGATCATTAAAAATGCACTAGGTGGAAGTGGCAAGGTGTTCCGTTTTATTATAGAGAGGGTAAACGAACAATTGTCCGAGGTATATTTGCCCATTTTGTAATTGTTACAATTGTTCATGTAATTGTTTGAATGCTCTTAAAAAGCAAATCACTTTGAAAATAGAACTGCATTTGTAAAGTTAAAAATTTTAAACAAATTGTGGTATTTGAAAGGTATTTGGATACAGCCTAACAGAAATTGAAGGCAATAAATACATATTGGTGAATGAAATAGAAAACGATCTTCCGCATCTCACCTTCAACGATAACCATAAGCAGGTGCTGCTGTATCTTGTACTCGTACATATTTTTATGTTTGGCGAATCATGCAGAGAAGGTGAATTTTGCTTTTTGAAAATTTGCATGTTGTATGATATGTATCTTGTATATTGATTTACTGTTATATAAATAATATGTTGAATTTTTATAAGAAACTGTTTAATAAATTGATGTTAGAAATAAGTGAATAATATTTCCACAGAAATACTGTGGGACTTTCTTCAAAATCTGGGGATTGTGACTAGCAAGAATTTTCAACATGAATACTTTGGTGACGTTAAACAATTGGTGACAGTGGTAAAAAGCAATTCTGACTATTATTACAACTTATATATACCTATAATTATTGTAATTGATTTCTAAATGATATTCATTTATGCACACAGGAATTTGTAAATCAGAGATATCTTGAGAAAATAATGATAGATAAAAATGATCCATTGCAAGTTGAATATAAATGGGGATCTCGTGCAAGAAATGAGTTATCCTATCGTTCCGCTTTGCAATTTGTGGCAGAGGTAAGTACAAAAAAATATATTTGAGGATATAAAGATAGGAGAAAGAAAGAATAAAACTGACATTTTTATTGAGATATAGACAAATATGTATTATATATATATATATATATATA